CAGAGAGCACTGCAAGGCACAGAAAGGCTTTCTCAACCCTCCTGCAACAAATTAAGAACTTAAGTAAAAATGCAAATCCACAGAAATTACCATTCGCCTGAGGCAGAGATCAGGCAAGGGCATTGTCATGACCAGTGTTCCACATCCAAGCAAAAAGCTGGGGTGTTGTCAAGAAGCCCAGTATCTGTGGTAACTATGGGATGTTTCATGTGAAAGAGTATTCAAAACAAAATTTAAATCTATCATATGTCCCAGTCGAGGGCAATAACAATAAATGAGTCATTGTGTCTCAGACCCCTCTCAACACTGCAGATCTATGGCTGCTACTGTGTAAATCAGAAAGTGCAGTCTGTCTTTTCAGGAACATACCAGCACTTCAGTATTGTTCATCTTCCAGAGAAAATGTGGTGAAAATGGGAACACTGTACTACTGTGATATGTGGCTTATAATTGCTATCTAATACAATACCTTTAGGGAAGCTGATAACAAGAAAAAAAGTATGCGTTTAGCAATTTCATGCTTCAGCTGCCAACTTGTAATGAAGTGAGGAGACCTCTGTTACTGATTAAGAGGATATTCTATGTTGCCATTTTGATCATGCATATTTACTCATTACTACCTCCTTTTCATTTGAACGAAATATATAAAAAGTTATTATGCACATCTTGCACTGTTGCCTAGGAAATTGCATACACTTTCACATTACCAAGTGTACTGGGGACTTCTCACTACTCAGGATTACTCTGAATGGCCAGAGTCTCCTAGCAGTCTTTTGTGTGCTTTTACTTGTACTTCATTGCTTTTATTAGATTAGCTAAAAATTAACCACTGAAAAGTACAATTTTATTTAAATTTAAGTTTCTTTTTGCTGATGTCTGTCTCCACCACCACTCAGTATGGATAGTTAAATGAGAACATCAAAAGGAAGATGAGTTTGCAATTTTGCTGGAGGACTCTATAAACTCTGGATATCTGAGAATTCCTTCAGGTCTCTGAGCGTTGAAAGTCTTGCTTGAACTGGAGACTTTTCCCTAATCTTTCCACAGGTACTAAACATTATTTCTGGTGGCAGGCTTACAGATAATGCTCTAGGCAAATTCCAGGATTTTCGCCTGTGCAGATCAGACTGGCATTGGCAAAGTGATAAAAAGAAGCCCACATGTTAGAGGCTTGCTAATATGAAAATGTTGAGATGGTTGCTGCATGAAATTAGAATCTTTCCTGAAGATGCCTTTAGAAATCTTTATACACCATGGAAATCTCCTGGCAAAAGCACCAGTAGAGCTTTTGTGATTCAGAAAATCCCACATTAACATGTAGCAGAGATGATAGGCAAAAAATAGGGGAGGTGATTGGTAAAAATGCAGAACAGTGCAGCTATAAGCATCACTTAAAAGCTGAAGATGAAATCCAGAAGCAGCACTGACACTGCTGGTGAGCAGGTGAACGAGGAATGGGGTAAAAACCTCTTTCTTATTTGTCAAAATTACTTTTTGGAGGAATGCCTTTGAATTATGACAGAAATGGTACCTTCAGATTATAGCACCTCAGAGTTGTCCTAGGTAAGTGTTTAGCATACCCAGTGAACTCAAATCTAAACAGACCTTTTCTCAAAGCAGAAAAAAATTCCATTCACCTTTCATTAGAGGATACCAGACAGGAGGATACTGATCATAGCTATTAACACGTCCCCTAAGCCCTCCAGTTTGTGAAGTTTTGCATAGTTAAAAGATTTGCAATTAATTAAATATGTGAAATCTTAATGTTGGATTTTGCCACATAGAAGGGGAGTGGACTAGATGAAACCAGGCGCTACTTACATTAGTAGACATTGTATATATATTTGCCAGTCAAGTACAGACTGTTGTAAAATCTTAATGGCCTGTAAATAAACAGACCTTTTCTTTCTATCTTTCCAAGGCGGGAGTCGGACCCCAAAGAGGGTTGGTGAGAGAGGCTGGATAGGGCATTGACAGTATGCAGGGACAAAAAGTGACTTGGTGTCATGACATGTCACCTATCCCGCAAGACACTAATTACAGGTCTTAGGTGGACGGGCTACCTTTATTTAACCTGGAAAAGAAACATGTATAAATCATATATGTTTGATAAATAACCTTCCACACACTGCTTTTCCTCTGAGTATGTGAGAAACTGGCTTTGAGGAAAGAAAAGTTGATTCATTTTCCATGTTTGTTCAGTTTAAACTTTTTTTGCTACTCATGATGCCAGCAATAATTATTGCCATAATAAGCACAATGAAGTAAAATGTTTCTATGCTCTAAGCCTGAAGAGGCAACTAATTGCAGGCCCACACGATACTCCTGGCATTCATTGAAACTTTTCTTTCAGCCTGCCTGTTGCTGAAAATTTTAATGTAAGCTCTCTTACAATAACCCCTCTCAGTTGCTTTATTCAGCGCCACTGTGGTCTTCCAGGATTATTTTCTGTGGCATTCATTGACACACCATAGGAACAGTCAGCAACCACTAATCAGCTATGCCTCACTGGAACTGGGTTTGCTAGGAAAAATTAACATCTTCGTTTTATACCGGCAGAGCAGAGTGGCTCTCACACAGCAAAGATGCTGCAGAGCCAAGATGCCCTCCTTGCTCACGCTCCTGACCCCGTTGTTCTGCTTCACCTACCCTCTTCCTGACCGTAAGAAAGCATTGGGATTCCAGAAGTTACCACAGATTTCCTCTGGTTTTCTGTCTGGGTTGTTGATTCTTGAATTCTTTACAAAGGCACTTTTGAAAATAATCATTTGCAATTTGGCATTCCGTGAGGATGCTTCCAAAAAGCCAATTCCTCTCTGTTACTGCCTGTACCCTGGGATGGCATAGCTGTACTTCTAAATTACTCTCCCTCCCCTCAGGGTCTTTATATCAACAACTTTGCCTTGTTATGTCTTGTATAAAACAAAAATTGCTTCCTGACATCTGCCCAGCTGTTATTTTTTCTCTCTTTCCTCCCATGTACCATGCAGTTGTCTGTCTTACCATTTGAGAATACGTCACTTTAAATTATTGGGAAAAGTATGGAAAATATCCATAATACAAATTCCAGAAGCAAATTACATATTTTACTCAGAACTGTATTTTAAAAAAATAGTAGTTTAGCCGTTAAAAAAACCAAAACAAACAGCTACATACAATTACATTCTCATTGGTACTGTGAGAGGTCAATCTAAAAGACAGGTTCCCTATCATTTCACACCTTTCAGCAATCCTTTTTCTGAGATGTTCATATTTAGGTCTCTTACCTGGTCATACCTGGCCCCTACTTTACTGACATTTGTCTCAAACAATTCAGAGGAGAATGCAAAGAGACAGTTTTTGATCTCAGAAAATCACTGAGGAAAATAATACAAGAATTTTGTTATAGTAAGGTTTCTAGTTGCAACTGTTAATATATTAAGTAGCCTGAGAAATTAAATATATATTTTTTTGTGGAAAGTACTAGGACAAGAGAAGCCAGATACTGAACTTGACAGAATATTGTTAAAGGAAAAAATGGTCTTGTTGCATTGTGGGAAAGAAATCTCTAAGTTCAAAAATCATTTCTGAGTACATGCTCAACAGGAAATACTTTTCACAATGCCCTAGTGAAGCTGCATTCTTAATATTATATCCTTAACACATCCTAATGAAATACATGATAAAGTATGTAACTTAAAGAATGTACAATACAGCTGATATAATGTTGGATTCCAAGATTTCATATTTCAACTTTTTAAATGTGGTAGATTTTCACTTCAAATTTAAAACTGTATGAGAACATTTCTGGCTTTTGACTATTTACAGACAGAATTATCATTAAAAATGTGGTTTTTAGAACAAAGAAATATAAACTGCCATACATTCTGGCTAAATGTGTCTTCAGTGACAAAGAAACCTGAGTGTTAACTGCAGTTATGAAAAGTCAATGAAATTCAATTAAAACCTTCTAGAAGAGGTAAAAACTATCTTGGGCTTGGAGTGATTTGTTCTGCTCTGATAATACCTAGCTAGTCTAATGCTGGCATACCTGGTTTGGGAAGCAATGACCCTCAGTCGGGTGTATACCTACTGCCATAGGTCCTTAAAGCATCCTTCTTCTCTTGGCTAGGATGACTTTTGTCCATGGCAACCTCCAACAACCTGAAGGGCCATAGCAACTTTTTAGGTGATACTTGTTTAAACTCGCTTTATCAAACTTGGCACAAACAAGTCTAGAGGGAAAAAAGCATCCTCGGGCATGCCTCCTGGGCTGTGCTTAACCATCTTGTAGCAAAGCCTTGCAAGAGGACCAAGAGGTTTAGATTGCACAAATAAATGATTGTGGCTTATGAGCTGCTGCAGACTGACTTCCACTGAAGTTAAGGGGAACCAGTGCAACAAAGGACTGGTCCTTTTTGTGGGTTTGTTCCTTTTCTTATACATGGGAAATCTGACTCTGTGATCTTACTATTTTTATTATTAATCTTCTGCTGAAGAATGCTTGGCAGGGGAGGAGAAAGGAGTCTTTTGTGTGGGGCCAAAGAGTATTGATAATTAGAAAAAATTCCCGCGTTACATTCTTACCAGCTGCCATGACTGCAAGTAAGCTTTTTATTAAGGAGAAAAATATTTAAAAAACATAAAAACAATGCCTCTAATTGTAATGACAACCATTTTCCAACAACATTTTTACCCCAAGAGAATTTTTACCATCTCACTAACCCTTAAAAGACATGTGTTGATCATGGGATGGTATCACGGACAACTTGTTTTCTCACACTTTATAACATTTGATGAAGCAAAACACAATCTGAGGGGAAGAAACAACCATTTCAAATCAGTCCTTGCAATGTGGAGGTGCTAAACAGATGTCCTTTTCTACACAATATATCCTCATGATGAGAAAGAGGTTGAATTACATAGGCTAAATGACACTGTAAGCAATAGCAACAGAATATTTTCCTACTTTATTTCACTCATCTAGAGCCCAGTCTCTTTTAAAATTAGAGCTGACTGACCTTGCAGGACAGGGATCCAGATTACACTCTTGAAGTTTTGGCTTTGGCTTGATATTTTCAGGATAATAGTGACAGTATTGATCTGCTACTACCCGGTTGCTTCTCAGATCAAAACATTCAGCAGATGTCAGTTGATAACCTGCAATACATAGTGGAAGAAATAGTATGTGATGTGGTGTTCTTCCTGTCTCTCTCTGAAGTGCATCTAAGTTCTCGTTTGGTAAAAAGCTAACTGAAAATATCAGTGCTTTTGGACATAACATCTGCTGTTTTACAGACCAGATTGAAACCAACAACTTAAATTACATGTAGTAGGAAAAAAAGACAACCAGTATGGTCAGTAAAAATTCAGAAGCCTAGAGCAAAAAGAAAAAAAACAAAACAAAACAAAAAAACCACAAAAAGGCCAAGGCTTCTCGGTCACTAAGACTCATACACTTGGTTTTAGTTCAGAGGGTAAAGCTGCTGGTGGGAACATGGGCAAATGGAGACATCTTGTGATTCCAAAGCAGGCCCAAATCCCATCAGCACTTATGTTTCACAGTTGTAGCATTAAATGCAGTCATGTGGACATCAAAATGTGCTTTTTGTACAGAGCCTGGTCTGATGCTAAAAAAATCTGCAGGCTACTTCTGCTGCTACTACATCCCTCCCTTCATTTAGATGTAACTACTTTCATTTTCAAATTTTGCCCATTTTAAAGGTTCAAATCTCAGTGCAACAGTTGGGACAGACCCTGTATGCAGATGACTGGTTTTGGAATACAGTGGTCATTCATTACCTCCTCCACAGGATGCTGAACAAGGAAAAAAATCAGTTTCCCTCCATCGGTGAATGATAGGCTGATAGAAGATAAACTGAACTGAACTGTCAGCAGCACCAGCATAGCGAATCTGAAAAAGATGTAACACCAAAGAGTGAACCTGACATAAATACTGGGAAGAAGCATTGTGCCTCAGGCATCTTGCAGCTTTGAGACATCTTGCAGCTACTTGAAATACCAGAGATCCTTTGCAATAGGAGAATGAAATGCACAAACCAGAGCATAGATCTTGGCCAAAATCTTGGCTACAAAACACAGTCAAATAAATTTCTGGGTGTAATCAGTGGCATTTCTGACCTTTCTGAGACCATGTTCTGAAATAATGAATGCATGGTAAATGCATGGTTAATGCCACTGAATAATTTAATGGGGACAGATGATACGGACTGATCTTTATTCCATCAGAAAATCACCTACCACTACCTGTTGTCCCTGCCACACTGACATGGATTTTAGATCTTTAATATTTCCCAAACACCTTCTGAGAACATGTATGCTATATTAGATAGTTCAGACTGAAAAATGGGAGGCTGTGCTGTGAGAAATACAAAAGTATAAAAAGTCTAATTCAATATTTTTTTGTTTCTGAGGTGAGGTCTCTTTTTCATTCTTCTTTGTGGCACTGTCATTATTATAAGGCCATTCTTCTGCTCACTTTATTTTGGCTCCTTTCAGCCATAGGTGTGGACTGTTGGCTGGAGCTAAGTGCATGTTCAGAAAATACTCTTTAAGAACCTACAAGTCCTGCCAACTTTTAAACCATCTGAGCTTCACTATGCTTTCAGTACTTTGTGTGCTGAATGGATTTCCCATGTAAACAAGAGTTTGTAGTGCAAGGAGTGCAATAAGAAGAGAGACCTTCACACTGCTAAAGCAGCACCACTTGCACCTGGCAACATCCTTCCTGTTTGATAGCTGTGCTGATTACTAAAGTTATGGGGACTTTAAAATCTCTGCAGGACATCCCTTGTCCTTACCTCTAAACCTTTGATGAACTGCTGGCAAGGGAAGAACAACAATGCTGCTACTAAAAGCCTCTTCTAGTTGATTATTTGTCCTAGGACATAATGTATGGGTGCTGCTTGGGCATCTGTGCGTCAGTGGCATGATGCTGTCGCAGGAGGGAAAACTGGCAAAGCACAACCAGAAAAGAGGGACCTTTCTGCAAGTCAGTACTCCTGACCTCAGGAGCAACCCTCCCTGTTCTTTTTTTCAGACAGCTTAAAATGTTTCGGCACTGCCTCCTTTTTCTTTTCCCATGTTTTGAACAAGTTGCCCTGACACACCATTTTTCAATCTGCCTTTCCTTTTCTTTCTTTACAAACACCAAGAGACACCATCAAAGAGTAGACTGTGAAACAGAAGCAAAAAATATGACAAATTGAGCTGAACAGCATAATCTGGATTGTTTGTTTTGTTTTGCCCTGAAGATGGACAGAAACATGATTACTAATCAAAGTATATCTTGAACAGAAGGAGGAAGGCAAAAATACCGCAGGATATGTTGATGGCTGTAAGAGATCTGGCCCACCGAGACTAAGGCTGCCCTTTTCTAATTAGAGTAAACAGTGACGTAAATTCCCAACAGGAAAAAAAAAATACAGCTGTAGCAATACAGCTTCTCCAGCAAATGGGAGGCCTTTTTCACGGATTAATATCATTTGAGTCTGTGTGTCAGAAACAGGATATCTAATTCCTTGTGTGGTGATGGTGCATTAATCACACACTTCAGAAGGGTCTTTTTGGGCACATGAAAGCCTCATGCACTTCTGGGAAAAATGTTCTATTGTGCTAGAAGCCATTCGGGGAGGTCTCTGATCTGAATGTGCAGAAAAAGTGTTCACTGGGGAGAATTCTGCTCTTACTCTTTGTTTTTTAAGGATCATCTGATTCTTAAACTCAGAAGATCTACTCAGCAGCATGGTCTTCAGTGAATCATGAAGAACAGACCAAAAGCTCAAACAGAGCCTACTGTAAAAGGAAGGGGGGGGAAAAGAGTTCACATTAAAAAAAATTAATTAAAAAAATCAGGAGGACAGAAGAGTTCCTCTCCCTGCAGACTATTCCTGCATGTCTGCAGAATTATCTGTCTGGTTTGACACAGAGAAAAGACAGATATACATCTTTTCCAGCCTAATGTGGAAGTCGCTTGTACAGCCATGATAACAGCATAGGTGGGAAAGAATTACAATGAGCCTCAGCCATGAGCTAAAATGATACAAAACAAGCAAATGAAAGAAGCAGGTGCAGTATCGTTTATTTTTTTAAGGAGTACTGTAAGCAGAAGAGGAACAATACACCGTGATTCCACACAGCAAAAATTTCTTTTTGATTTTGTTTGACAGTTTGTTAAAGCTAAGATCTTGATCCAGGAGAAAACATCAGTGGCTGCTTGAGCCTTGCAAAACTCAAAGTGAGACTTGATAGCTAAATGCTTTAAGAAATGTCCTGGTTTTACTGCATAGGGCCAACTTCCACACATTGAAATACTCAAGTCTGGAGTATCATGAAATATTTTACCCTTGCAGTATTTGCAACACCCTGCTAGCTATGAGAAATGCCAAAACTTCAAAAAAAGATGGTCAATACTTGAGAATCTTTAGTTAGTCCTCTAACAGTGAGTTTTGCATCCTTAGGTCACTGAACCAGCAAAAATGGCAGTCGTTCATTATGTTTGCAAATAAAATCCTATCTAAATTTGTTAGCAGAAGACAACAGAAGTACTCAGATCTTGCAGAACACTCAGCCCTGCATTTGTGCATTGCAACACCCTAGAGATCATCCTTGATTTCCCTTAAGTTTCAGGGGAGTTTGGAATATTCAAAACATCAGAGCAGCCCTCATCACTTTGTAAGACCCAAGAGGACATTGGCAGTCTTATAAAGAGTTGGTTAAAATTAGAGTCCTCAGACTATCCACCAAAAATTAACTGTCTAGCCTACAGTCACTAGCAACAGAGATATCTCTTCTCTTTGTAGAAAGACCTTGGGAAAAAAAAAAATCATTTGTACCCTGCTTTTTAAAATTTATTTTGTAAATGACTGTCTGGGATGGTTCAACAGAGGCACAAGCTGTTGCTCAGGTGAAATTCTGGATTGATAACATTCTGTATTGATTTTGGGGCTATCCACAGAAAGTTGAATGAAAACAACAGACCTCATACTTTGAATAAGAAAGCAGCACAATCTTTTTGAATTATTCTGATCTGTCCTGTGACCAAGAGACTGCAATATCTGACTTCACCTTTGTATTGTGTTGTTTTTCCTATAGCCCCCAAATTTGATTAGTTCACATAAAAACGACCATCGAGCAAAGTCCTCCAAAGCCCAACTGTTTCATATTTGATTTTGGCAGCATATGCCTGAACCATTTGTTTATGTGCACTGAAGAACGCATGGCCTGGCCTACAAAACTGCATTATGTTTACTTGGGGTGTTGTGAAATTTAATCAGCAGTTTATAACCAGCAGTGATAACCAAGCAATTATCAATGTTAATTGTAGGGTTAAACCATGAAAAGTGTGTTCATAAGATCTTCTCATTTTATGAAATTGTGTGTGTTGGGTGAGGAGGAAAGACACCATGTTTTTTCTTTTGTGTGTGTGTCCCAAACTGGGGACAGGGAAAGGGAATAATTATTGCATACTATCTTTTGTCTTAAGAAATTTGATCTGGTGTATTATGAACTAGCTCCATGCCACCATGCTTATTAAAAAAGTTCTAATAGATTTTTCCACATTATTATTGCAAATGCTTTCTGCAAGTGCCAAATCCCAAAGCATAGGGTTTGATTTATTAATGAGAAGTTAAATGTTGAAGTCTTCTAAGTAACATACAAAGAATCTGTGGATGAGGGTGTGGAGAACTATCCTCATGTGGCATACATAATTTTATGCTTTTCATGTCAGTAAAAACAAAGGTTTTGTATGATGCTTTCCTTCTCTAGTCAGAGCACTTTATATTCCTGTTTGTATGTAGTGATACATAGTGAGGATGTGCAAGAGATTTGTTGCTGTTCATAATTGTTCATGAAGCAGAAATAGGAGCCAGACATTGTCATGGGAAAATAATTTTACAAGCTGCTTTAAAATAATGTAAAAAGTTCAAAAAATGTATATAATGAGAAATGCTGAAGGTTTTCAAGCATACTGTCTAACACAGGACTACATCACGACTCCTCTGCGCTTGCCTTTTAAATTCCCTTGGAATGCTGAAAGGAGCTCTGCCTTTGAGTCCAGAGAACATGTCTACTGTCCACTTCTGCATTTGTGTCCCTTGATTGTGAAAGTCTTGTGTTGGATTAGTTTGGTTTTGGGGTTGTCTTTATATGGAAGACAGCTCCCTCTGATACTGCTCAATTCAGCCTTTAAATCAGCAGATAAATCACTGTGAAATTACATTATCATCAATTTACATGCTTTACAAAGTATTGCTGAATTGACTTTGCTCACCATGCCTCAATCTTGGATTAAGCTATGTTCCTTTAGGTTATTAGGATGACTGTTAAAAAGCCTTTAGACTAAATCTCTCACAAAGCCAAAACAGAAAGCTAGAAGGTTCAAATCTTTTCTCAAATTCCATTATTCTCCCCAAGGGAAGAACAAAATAGAAAATCAGTGCAATGTACTGGCTGGGATAGCTGGCAGCGATGGAGCCTGCTGTATCAGCTATAACAGCTATGATAATCTGTACAGAATCCACTACTATAGTGCTCCAAAAGCAGAAGCTTCTCAAATGAGAACACCAAAGTTATTCCACAGAACCAAGGACAACATCAAATACACCAAAACCAGACCTGCTGCATCTCTTTTGTGGATATCACCCATAACACCCCACTCATCTATGGAAAGACCATTTCACCACCACCACCATGCTCCCATGCTAAGAGAATTCACCTTTGAGCAAACCACCCTAATCACCACTGCAGAATATTTATTAACCTTAGTTTAATCATGGCAATACCTAAGAAATTAATGTAAAAACATAGATACTGTAAAAAATAAAATTAACAAAATAAAAAGGCAATGTTTGCCACAAAAAAAAAAAAAGTTAAAATGATGAAAACTGAACC